CCCCAAAACCCCAAAACCCCGTGAATCAAGCTAGCTGAAAAGTTGAAATAATTCTATCTTTAGATTAAAGTACATAAATGAAATACGATAATAATTTAATATGATTCAGCCACTTAATCTTAATATAATCTAATAATATCATATAGCTATTAAATGATGCCGCGAAGTGATTGGATAAACAAATATCAAATCAAAAGATAAAATTTAAAATCAAGATTTAGTCTGAAACACCTCTTGCTCTCATACTACATTACTACTTTACTAATTCATACGTAAAAAAATATATTTGAACAAAATTTATAGATTAATTTAAACTGTAAGTAGCTAAGGATTGGGATTATGCTTCACAAAATATTCATATCCACTTTCGTTTAATGCAAATGATGCAGGAATTAAAACATTATTCATAAAGTTCAATGAAATTGGAGATCTTATTTATGGGGGTTTTAGATAGTCGAGCAAAACGACTCCTATCCTAGGATTTTATCAATAAAATGCTTGGTAACTAACAAAGATAAGATGGATGTGAAATTACAATAATCCCAGTTTAGATTACTTAATGGTTGACTCATTAGCCGTGAAAAAAACCTACATATTTGCAGGTATGGTCTCAAGTACCGATAAATATATTGTAAAGGTAAACCCCAATGATGGTAAGGTGATTAAAGCACTAAAGTTTCCACATCTTGGAATCTTTTATAGATAATTTGGAATGGCGATTGATGCTAATAATGATGTTTATACACTTTAAAATGACTATACATCCTCATCGTAGTACTCTAAAATTCTAAAAATTAATAATGCGTTGGATGCATTTCAATGGAGAATTTAGCCAGATTTATTCACTAATGTATTTCACCTATAAGAAATATTTAATGGTAACTTAATCATGGCAGGTGGTAACGAATATTACAGTGTGTCTTATTTTTACATTAAATTCTACAATCTGGACGGAACAAAGCAAGTTCATTATTAATACGAGCCTTCCATTGGATAGAGTTCTCCAATACTTCAAGGAGCTGGCTTGGAAAATGTTGTTTATAGTAGCTCAGATTAAACTCTGATTGCATGCTATCGCAATTCTTAAGCAGTTTTTTAATATTTTATTGGTTACATTATTCAAGAAACTTCTGCTGCTTACAATCTTCATTCATCAGACAATTCTGAAAATATGTATTGTGCTGACATACATCCAAAAGGAAATAAAAGCTATACTGTTTATGAAAAATTTTAGAAAAATTCAATATCTTACTTTACCACATCTGATTTGATGTATGATTCTTCAATTAATTACTATAAACTGAACAACACGAAAGTTTTTACATTTAAAACACAAAACAAGATTAGTTTCACAAGATTTTTACTTGATTATAGTTCAAGGCTCTATGTTTTCGGTGATGCCACAATAAATAATATACCATCAAGCTATATATTTAAAATGAGATAATAAGAATATTGCTATACTATTTACTAATAAGATACTAGTAATACAGTATTCACTCTTGAACACTAATTTTATCAAGAATTGAAGACAGTTCCAACTACTACTCCAGCTCCAACTGCTCCAGTTGTAACCACAACCACAACTCCATAGCCAAACAATGGATATGGTGATTGGCCTAGTTCATAAGATTCATATTCTCACGATTCATATTCTCACTATTCAAATTCTTATGATTCTTATAATGGGAATCGTAATTTGGATTATATTGAAGGAAATTATGAAGAATATTCGGAGCTTCGTAAAGTACTACTTCTAGATGATGAGGAACTACTTTAAATTTTGGATTTATAAATAGAATGAGAAGAGGATTATGCATAAATGGTAAAAAGAAAGGAGGGGCTTGATTCTATCTCTAACTCTAACTAAGAAATGAAAAATAATAACATCTAAGATAAGAGAAAACTTGGAGTTGATGTCTTGAACACTAGTCCAATGTTATCGACTACAGATATTTCCAGTTTCTTTTCATTTGACAAAGATTTAAGGTCTACCTTAGTTGAATTAGATACTTCACTCATTGTAAGTTCTCCTAATAAAACAACTTGTAATCTAAGAGGGGCAAATGACTTAAAATATGTACCTAATTCTCCTGATAATCGAGATTTTAGCTGCTATAGTGAACTTGAAAATTGTAATGTTAGTTTGGGTTACTACTAGTTTGGAAATTGTAAAGATGTACTTAATCTAACCATTCTGATTTAAAAATCAAATTTCTAATCTGCATTACTCACAAAGAAAACTTTTACATTTTCGCCTCTACTAATGGATGATACTTTTATTTAAACAAATGTGCAACATTTAATTTAGCAAAATTACACAATAAGTGCTTTGAATTATGATAGTTTAAATGCTACTTAGGCTAATGATAGTTCAATAGCATTTAAGGTGAATATAAGCCATTGTATATTAGAGGTGAAAGAGTTATAGTCACCTTAAAATTAGACAATTTATTACAAAGTGTTTGACCCAGCAAAGAATTTTTCTCTACCTGTCCATAATTACACTCCTAGTTGGTGCAAACAGTATTCGTAAATTCCACAAGTATCAGCTACTCTTCCAAGTATCGGGAATTCAGCGAATAGATTCATCCCGGAGATCTCATTTTTCCCCTTATAGAATTTAATGCTAGTAAAATGTGATGATAATTCTCTTGCTGATCATTATGAATTCTATTTTAACTCATCTATTTCATATGGAGGTTATTTTTACCAATTATCAACTTATTATGTAGATGTTATCATTTCCTAATACATCAAATTTTAAGATGGATATGATAGCCCTCCTTTTTTTATTAATTTGCCAATAATGACCTTGATTTAAGTTGGTGATACTGAGATCTATTAGCTTCCTGCAATTTTTGATATTTAAAATGACTTGTATGATATAAAAATAAACCTTGGAAAAGCCTCAATTTTTACTACTATTAAAAATCAGACAAATCTTGCAATTAGTCCAAGTATTTTTGATAGAGGTTAATATGATGTAAAGGTCAAACTTATTCAAAGAAATTAGTAATCATTGTTCAATAGCTATTCTTTCAAAATCTCGGTATACTCAGATTAAGATGACCCGAATTATCTTGAGCAATAGGAAAATAAATTAGACAATTATGATAGAATAAAAAGATAAATTAAAGATTAATCTTTAAAGGCTAGAGTGCTCAAAGTAAATCAAATTGGAGAAGTTGTAATATTATTTGATAAAATTATGGCTATTCCTTATAACTATACTTAAGTGATGAATGAGAGCTTAAGTATAAAATTGGTATAAGACAATATTATAACTATTGTCGACTATAACATCACAAAATTCAAAGGCTAAATGCTATAACTCAAACTCTACTTCAGAGTGAGTAAAGATAAAATTTCTATTAAAAAAGTAAATATATCATTCTAATTTCATACTTATAGTTGGATCAATTGAGAATTATTTTTAAAGAAAATAAGTACTATATCGATAGTAAAAGTTGGACTATAATCAAACAAAATTATGAGATTGCAAGCATTATACCTCCGTAAATAGACGCTGGTAAGTATTAAATTGAACCTAAACGATTATTTATTTCATTTTCTATAGAAATCTATTATATCTTCTCAACTATTCAAGGTGCTACTAAAAATTCAATATTGGCTATCTTTGGATCAAACATGGCAATCAATTTATTCATGTATTATACTTTAATTATCTTATCTAAACAGGAAATGTGGCCTTTCGTTTGTGTGGGGAATGATAGATGAGCTTCAGTTGATTACTCATCTTCCCTTGGTATAAATTATTCTCCCAGCCAATACTTTAGCATTTTACTCAATGATCAACGATCTAATGACTCTTGATATTATCCCAGATAATTTGATAAATGAAGTTCTAATAGATTTTACAAGTTTTGATGATGTTCCATACAATGAATAATTTCTGCTTTTGAATTACAATTCAACAATAATGATGAATAACCTAGGCTTATTACTCTACATCTACTTAGGAATATTAGCATTAACTGCTTTTGCAAGAATTCCTGAAATGTTTTCATCTTTTAATTAATAATCTGATCTAAACCATGATTTAACCATAAAAGCAAATTAACCTAAATGTAAAATCAACATTTGTAGAATATTTTCAAAATTTCACCATAAAATTGTCTATAATATGTACATTAGATTTTTCTTGGAAACTTACATAGAGCTTTTTATGTTTTCAATGATATATTAAGTCAGAGTAAGTGATTTATACAAAAAGTTAAAATATATTGATGCATTTAATAAATTTATATCTTTAGGCATAAGTCAACGGATATGATGATGCTGTAAGTGAGGGAATAACATTAATGATCCTAATATAAGCAATACTTCTACCTTATGTGGGGATATATATGATCTAAAGCATGATTAATTATTTAGACAATTCAATGAAGACTAAGCATTTTCATTAAAAATATGGTTCTTTTATTGAATCAATTAGCACTTAGAATTTTGTCAAGGCTATTTTTAATCCAGTTTAGATTATAAGGAAATAAATGTTTTGTATTACTCTCATTTTCCTTATATAGCATTAAGGGCTATAGATTTTGCTGATTATACAAATAAATATATTAATGCTTTGGTATCTAATCGTTAACTAACCTTTTGATGATTTATAATTAAATACAATGACAATTGTAAATTGTGTGATATTCCAAGTAATTTGCTATTCATTCGTGCCATTTTTATAATCTCATGAAATGAGTGATGAAACATACCTTTTATACGGAAATTGTGCAATATACTTGATATTATTCTACATATGCTTTAACATCTTGGTTATCATATTAATGATGATTTAGTCAATAAAGTAAGGCTTAAAAAAGAGATTTATGAAAGAAAAGTAAAAATCTACTGAATTTACGGAAAATAACATCCCTCTAAATAAGTACAATGAAGAATTAGAAATCTTTCCTTACTTGTCAAGAAAATAAAACATTATAAAGAGTAAATTTAAAAAATCTTAAAAGAATTAATAATTAAAGTAAAAAGTGAAATCTGAGTTGAATCAAACAACAGACATGTTGCACATGAAACGGAATAGCTCAATGAATCTCACAGGCTAAATAGTAATGTTCCATAAAGATTAAAATTTAAGGAGAGATAGCGGACATGATTTGAGTAAAAATTTAAGTTATGATGAATTTGATACAGCTAGTTATGCAGGATATGATTTTGATAATACTAGCACTTATTTTGATTTGAATGCCACAGGTTAAATTTAAGATAGAATACAAAAATGAGCAAGCAAATAAAAATTAAGAATAAAAATGAGAATATTTATTATAAATCAAAAGATGATGTATTTTGCATTATCTTATGTAGGAATATATTAAGCGATTTAAATTTAAAATTAAAAAGAAAACTATTTTAGCAATTTTAATTTAAATATGTATGTTTTGCACTAATTTTATTTATTTCTTGTACCAGGGGTTTTGGGGTTTTGGGGTTTTGGGG